TACAGCGGCAGCGCGCCAAAGACTCGCGAGACATTGTTTTCGCACGTTGCTCCAAGTTCTCTTAATTAATTAGTTAGTTAGCCGAAGAGAGCCGGAGGGTCGGACGCGTTCTTCACTTTTGCGCGACAGCGCCCAGCGCCAGTGGAAAATTCGTGGACAGATTTCGAGACGGCATACGATATTACTCTTCGCTCTGTATCTCGCGAGCTCCTCTATCTTTCTCATTCTCTCTCTCTCTCTCTCTCTCTCTCTCTCTCTCTCTCTCTCTCTCTCTCTCTCTCTATCTATCTCTCTCTTTCTCTTCCCTCAAACGCATCATTCCGCCATCTGCCATTTACGAATGTGTGTCCGTTTATAAGCTAACACGTACTAGCTACAGTAAATCCTAATTACGGCTTGTACGACAGACATGTATGCATACAATATATGTATACATATGTGCATGTGCGTGTGTGTACACACATACACACACACACACACACATATATACATATACAATATTTGTGTGTACGTGTGTATGCCGCGCGTAATATTATATATATATAGAATATTTGTGTGTATGTATATATATGTAATATATAATATTCATATATTACAGTTAGATTGCTCATTGTCAATTCATCGGTTTATCACATTTAGTACAAGTTGAAAAATATCTCTAACATCCACGCGCGGCCACGCGGACTCGAGCGCGTCTCGCCGTGCGCGCGCACGCGCGCGCATCCGCGACGCCGCTTTGTATAGTGTGTTATTGTTATAATTACGCTAGTTATTAAATTACAATTAATTATCTAACGGTAGGTACGACAAACAATTATGATAATACGGCCACGACTTAATAATTCACCACCGCGACGGCGAAGTGATTGCAAAATCGACTTTCGTTCGTGTTTAAACGCGGAATCCACACCGGGCGCTGCCTTGCGGAGCCTTGCCTTTATCGCGCGAATTCTCCTTCACGCGGATGTTTCGAGAGTAGAACTGTGCGTTTGTATATGTCGGCAGGCAGGCAGGCCTTCTCGAGGCCTGGGGATTTCGAGTGATTTTTGCATCGGCAGGCCGAGAGCGGCCGTAGCGAACGTAAAATATCGTACTGCGACACTTCTAATACATTCTTCTCCCAGAGAACACGCTCTCGTCTGTGGGCTTCTTTCGTCTCGAGTCTTCGCTTGAACGCAGGAAGAGTAAAGCGTGTGCACCCCAGATTGACACATCCCAGCGATGTGACAAAGACGCATCAACTAAATATGGTCGACTACCTCTCATCAGGAGATTTCGTAATCTTTCAATAAGCGTTTCTATCGGAGATAATCGGAGTATCGCGTATATATATATATATATATATATATATATATATATATCGTGGAGGAAAGCAATATACGCGCGACGAGAGAGGGACACGTTGACCCTCCCCTTTCTTTTTGCAACAAGTAGGACGCTAGGCCTCTGATCAGCCGACGTTCAACGGGGCGGCATGTTTAAAGAGGAAGTAACAACGGATCTTTCGTCGAAGGCGATGATGCTTGATACCGCTAAAAGTCGCAATCGCGCAGGCTGCGTCGTCGCGTGCATCCGTGAATTGTTCCATCCCGTCCGCAATTTTGAAGACCTCGGGACGTCGCAAGGCGCTGCGGGGGGGGGTAGGGGTTCGGGGCGGGGACAAAGCACGACCGCGTGTGAATTTTGCATTTTGCAACCACGCCGATGAAAAAAAGGTTCCGAGTTAGATTAGGTTCCTTAGTTATTACATAAACCGTGGCTAGAGACGCTTAACTTTTCCGCTTATTATTTTTTTTATGTGTGTACGCGCGCGTGTGCGTACATATATCATATGTATGTATACGCACACGCGCGCACACACGTACACATACACACACACACACACACACACACACACACACACACACACACGAGCGCGTGTGCGAGTGTGTGTGTGTGTGTGTGTGTGTGTTGTATTTTTTTTCACTTTAAATCTCTTTAGAATAGACACCAAAGACACCGAGAGAGACTCGAAGGAAGTTTCGAAAAAGGAGATAAAGTCCGTTCGGCTAATTAGGTTCGAAAATGTCTGGCTACTATAACGAGTCGAGCTACTTTCTCTACTGTCGCTTCGCGTCCTACATACGCGTGCGTTATTATAATGCTTGCGCATTTTCATCTTCTGCCGCCTCCTTCCTTCTCTTCTTTTTTTTTTGTCTTTTTAACCTACGAGTAGTCGTTCCGTACGGACGGACCGACGGACACCGAGGATTGAGCAAACTGTTATTGCACGGAACGCGTGAAAATCGAAACACTCCCAGAAATCACCCTCCCCCTCTTCCTCCCTCATCCACCTTCTTTTGCATTCTACGAGCTAGCCGTGTGAATTCGCGAGGGAAGAGCCTGCATTGCCTAATTTCGCGCCGTACAATTAATGAAAACGCCTCTATTTGCGAGACGATAGAACGATTTCGAATATTTCAGAGATATTGGATTGTCTGATCTGTATCTCGATCGAAAAGGTCCTAAATTCGAGCGAAGCCGGCGTAAGAAATTAGACGAAAAGAAGGGATACCGTTCTGCTACGTATTTCTGTATCGTGAGAACTTATAACTCGCATGGAAAATATCTGAACTTTTCCTCCGTGGGCGGACTTTGCAACCGGTCTGCTGTAAAATCCGATCCTCTGTCGGGAGAATTTTAAATTAGTCGGAGAATCTTCGACAATTGCGCGAATCGTTTGGTATTCGGCGCAACGTTGCTTCGCGGAGAGTTCGTAAACATCGTTCGGAAAATATCACGGCCAAAGTAACGACCAGCCGAGAGAGACGCGCGTTAACCCCGCGCAAATCGGGGTGCCGCTCTGTGTTTCCTCTGCGGATAATAACTAAACTTATCGACGACCTTCTTTAACACTCCTCGAGACGACGAACGCGCTCAGGCAGCAGCGTGAGAACGTCCGTTTCTAGCGAAAACAACATTACAACAAAACATTCATTACATTATGGCCGATATTGTGTATCAATATCTTCGGCCGCGAATACGGGGCCGCTCTTCGAAGGTACTCATACGCGAAAATACGCAATGAAAGATTTTCCGGCGTGAATTGTATCACTAGCGGAGGTCTCTCTATCGATGAAACATTAACGGCGAGAGACCCTCTTACAGCTTCCTATCTAAATACACTTAGCATATATCCTCGGAACATAGATAAACCATTAAAAACATTGTATATGTTCCTATCTACCTATACACAATATATAGATATAATGTTTGTATATCATAACCATATTAATAATATTAATTACATATACATACATATATATACATATATATATATATATATATATATGTGTATATATATATATGATTAGAGTAAATAATTAATCCTTATGCATATATCACATCTGATCGTTCAGTCAGTATAGGAAGACCCTCGCCTCGCCGTCGACACACGCAAACCCGTTTAATGTACGTGTTCCTACGTGTTTCTCTCTTTTCCGTCTCTCTCACGTTTCTCAGGATTCAGAAATTTGTCGCCTCGCTACGCTACGTCTCCCTCTCCTTTCCATTTTCTCACTCTATATCTTTCTCTCTTCCTCCCCCCGTCTCCTCGCGTCCTCTCACGTTCTCGCTCTTCCAGCCTTTTATACTAATTCGATAGTAGCTACTATCTAAACAGACATTTAAGTTTTGGTAAAAACCTGAAATCGCCATCGAATATCAATATAATACACTTAGTTTTTATATACTTATAGTATAAATATAGGAACATTCATTAAATATATTTTCATATATAATATTATCGTCATATATATATATATATATATATATATGTATGTATATATATATATATATATATATATGTATATATATACATATGCATATATATGTGTGTGTGTGTGTGTGTGTACATATATATGTATATGTACATATATATGCGTTAGATTCTGTATATATACAAATATATATGTACGTATATACATATTTGTATATATTTGTATATATTACTTGGTGTTGTAGCTATAACTTTAAACGTGGTTTAAAATGCCCAATATATTCCATAACGCCTGAACCATCCGGTTAGTCCGTGATTTCTGGGAGTCGACATTCAACCAAGAGCAATTTCCGAACGAACGGCGCGAACTTAACTTCAAGAGAACGCGCGCGAGTCGACGGACGGGCAAGACGGCAGGGGATATACCCGTGATACCCTAAGAAAATATCCGAGGAAGCAGGCGTCCCTTGTTTCTAAAGGACACGAAACATCATGCCGGCCATCGGATCGAGTCGCGCGGCGACGCTCAGCGTCGTGCTATTTCTCATCGCGTAGGCCGTAAGTGAGACGGATGCGCGGTGCACGCCTGTGTAAAATACGCCCGTAGATTTAAATAACGCTCGCTAATGAAATTATACAGTGTATCGCACGATGTACTTACGGACGACCGGATCTCGCCCGATCTCGCAACGTACTCGACGATCGAAGGGGAGTGCGTTTATCGAACGGAAGAGCCCGAGTTTTGCCGAGACAGTCCGAGAGAAAGCGTCAATTCAATTTAAGAGTCAATTAAAGTACCTAATTTGCTCTTAAATTACTCATTCTCTCCGGGTTCATTCTTCAGGGGTGACCGAAGGCGGCGTGATTCCGGTCAAATCGCGACACGTCACGGACTCGGGGGAAGATGGTTGATTCGGACGTCCTACAGCTCCACAAGCGTCCCGATATCGCGCCGCATCGCCGGCGTTGAAAGTATGAGTATTCGTGCGAACCAAAAACTATCCGCAAGCGTCTCGTACGTGCACGAAGGCGCGGCGCGGCGCGGCGCGGCGCAACGGTTGCAATAAATATATTATGCCGCTGCATTCGGCCGGTAGGTACGTTTTGCCGGAGTTCGATTGAAAGACGACTGGGTATCACGCGAGCTAACGTGATGCGGAGGGTCGCGCGTACGCGTTGTGATTAATTGATTCCCGGAATTCGATGTAAGTTCGAGCGAGTTTATAAACGAGTCCACCGTGTATGTTTGTATATATGTATGCATGCGCGCGCGCGCGCGTGTGTGTGTGTGTTCGATCGTGCGGATTTGTCCGATTTTCGACGTGTTCTGTCGCAGTCTTGCCAATCATTCGAAACATCAACCGCGGTGCTTCGTGTCACACGCGTCAACGGCACTTTTGCCGGTAGCGTTAAATAAAGGCCGCGGCGGGGCGATTTACTTTGGTGCATTTCGGGTTGGAATTAGTCGAAAGTTACTCGCGTCACGCGTTGTTTCCTAATCGTATTGATGTAATCTAAGTTTTCGAATTGATTAATTAATCATAATAAAGCGACTTGACTACGTCTCCGTCGTGAGCACATTGTTGATGTTGAGAAATTTGATTTCTTAAATTGTTATTCTTGCTTTTGGAATACTTTTACACGTATTATTCATCATATTGTTATATGACGACACTAATTGCATTTAGAAATATTCGGAAATCATGTGCCGAGTAATTAATTCAGGAACCGCGATTTTTGGCTTTGATCTTTGGTAACATCGAAGCATGAATTGAGATTTCTGCTTCCTCCATGCAGTCGTATTAAACGTCTGCGAGCGCTAAATCCTCCTTTGAAGTTATTTTTTCACAAGTTGAAACAAATTGATGCTTCGCCACATATCGCCGTTATTCAACAAACCGTAGCCGTAAATCTCGATCAAATCATGTCATAAGTTTGTCCGTTCCGTTGAAAGCGTGGAACAACTTATATATGCATAGATTGAATTGTAATACGTGGATTAAAAGAAACTTTTTGTTTGTAACTTTTTGCTGATCAATATTCTCGAGCGCGAGTGGATTACAAAAAGAAAAAACCAATTTACATGGACGTGTACAGGGTATCTGATAATTCGCAGCCATTATTTACACAGCATTACTCTCTAAAGTATAATAAAGTGTACTTTTCACCGAAATGCTACACTTGTAACTGGTGGTACAGTTACAAGTGCGGCACTGCAATTGAGGAAATCTCGCTGAAAGAATCAGTTAATGGCAACGAATGTTGCCCCGATGTTGATGAAAATTGCAAACACAGACCAGCGCACGCTAGGAGAACAGAAGCCGTTAATTCCATCGCTGCGCACGCAGAAAGTTGGCTTTGATACGATTTATAAGGGATTTGTGTATATTAAAGATTTCACACAATGGAAACTTGGGAATCAACGAATATTCACTCAGATTGTCGGTAAAATGCCAATTTCACTGGCTTGATCAGAAGCATTTTTACTAATCCATTTGTAGAAGAGCTTCTTTCCCTTTTAACAGTGAATTTCATTAACAAAACTATCAGGAAAGATCGTTATTTCTGCAGTTAAACTTAAAAATTTCCCATAACGCACCTCTGAAGCTAAACAATTCTGCTGAGAACAAACCCTCTTTGAGATTGATTGAAGAAAGTAATTACGTTTGCCCATTTACGTTCGCCCTCAAAGCCTCGCTTTTCGAGCGTTCACAAGAAGTCGGAGACTATCGAAACCTCTCGACACTTTCGTTAAGAAAAAACAAAGTCACATCCTGAGGAAAAAGAAATTTGCGCGAGTTGTGGCTGCGAATAATCGGGCACTCCGTGTATCCCGCTTAAAATTCACCCGATTTCTCACTTCCGACGCCATAATCCAATATGGCCGCGGTTGGGTCTTCTTCGCGCGATGAGAGAACCGCGCCGAAGGAGATGACATCACGGTAAAGAAGAGAAACGCGTCTCGAAGTGACTCGCGTCGAGCGTGCGAAGCGCGCGCGAAGGGAGAGAATCCGTGGCGGAGGGGACCGAAACTACCCCTCGGCTTTGGTTTTCGCATTAACGTTAACGCCGCGTTAACGTAGCGAGTACTCCTCGGCTCCGGCGTCTCCGTGACTCGCGCGTGTGCACAGCGCGTGTGCACACGCTAGATGGAATCGACTCTTATCACATGATTGCGGCTAGTCCCGTCGGACTCCAACTAATTGAGAAGTGACTAGTGAGAGTGGTCTTCGCTATATGTACATATACACTAAACGCCTGAGAGAGCACATTACTAAAATATCACATCGTGCGATCGTTAGCTCAAGGTACCTTCGATAGCGATTCGCGTCTTTCGAGTCGAGAGAACGCGCGTCGTACTCGTCCGCGACTCTGCGACGCCTGCCCGTCGACGTGTATCGTGCGAAATCAGGGGAGGGAAATCGCGACGGTATCTCGTTTGTATCGGCCGCCGCCGCCGCCGCTGCCATTCGAGCCAGTTAATTAATTCGGAACCAAGCGCGCCCCGCCAACTGGCCCGAAGTCGTGCCGTCTACGAAATACAATTAATACGGTAACTAGGAATAACGCAACGCGTCTCGCCGTAACGTTCCGCAAAACAAGATTAGATTGTCGCGTAGTTACTGTTTAGCGTTATTACGCTTAAACACTACTATGGGTGTCCGGTGTGCGGCCGGGTTTAATTCGGGTGTACTTTCATTCGTTCTCATCCAGCAGAGCGAAGAGACAACCGAATTCGGAAGCGCGGCGGTAGCGCTTTCCGGAATTGTTTCCTCGCCTGCGCGAGTCATTCGCGACCAGAGTGTGTATATGTGTGTGTGTGTGTACGGTGTCGCAGGAGGCGGTTCTGTCGCCTCACCGTTCTACTTTGGTACAGAATAATCGTTTGGCACTATCGTGGCTATCGTCCTCCTATCGAGCTCCGCTGCGCGACTCGCGGATCGCGGCCGTAAGCGGCGCGGCTTCGCGCGACCCTGTGTGTCTCTCTCTCTCTCTCTCTCTCTCTCTTTCTCTCTCTCTCTCTCCTCTCCTCTCCTCTCTCTCTCTTCCTCCCTCCCTCCCTCCCTCTTTCTCTTCCTTTGCAACGTTCGAGATCGCGAGAACGAACTCTCGACGCAAACGAGGCGAAATCTCACGCGAGTGTTGAAAGCCCCGAGATCTCGCGGGAACTCGTGAGTGGGGGGGAGGGAGAGGGGGGAGGGGCTCAAGTGCCGCAGGATCGCCGCGAATCGAGGAATCGAGGTAGCTCTCAGCGGGCGCGAATGGGGGAAACCGAGAGTCGAAGATTGCGCGCGACCTCATCACCGGGGGCCGTAGCAAGAGCGTCTCGCCGACGCTTTGCTTTCTTTCCGCAAGAGAGGCACTTGGCGAAGCCTGCCGCAGACTCGACTCGAAGGACATTACCGACTTTACGTGCTCACGACCGATCCCGACGGCTTCGCGACGGTGTCCCGACTCGCGGCTCTCCCCCGGTCGGCGAGTCCGACGGACACACAGGCTGGGAAATGGAACGGCAGTGGGCGGACGTTGCGGCTGGACTAACGATCAAGGGCGTCAGGCGTCATGGAACTGTTTTCTTTAATCTTCTAATCAGCGCTCCTCGAGGCCCGCGATCGCGCGAGGCCCGAATCGTCGCAAGGACCACGTGCGCGTCCGGCGATCAAAGCGGACGAATATATCGTGTAAATATATATATATATATGTATGTATACATATATATATATATATATATGTATATATATGTATGTATGTATATGTATATACACATATATATATTTGTATATATGGCTATGCCGGCGAGAAGTGGGAAATTGAAACGGTGCGAACGCGAGCGAGGCTCCCGCGTCTCGCCGCGAAACTCGTTGACATTCGTTGGACGCGGTTCCTTTTAATGTTTCTCGTTATCTTAATAAACTCCCGCCGTCGCTAAAAGGGACGCCCGCGCGCGTGCGACGGTGTCGCACCGCTCACGGGTGACGTATCGACATATTGTTTAATTGTTAAATTACATCTTTATCGAGACGGTACAATATGGTCTAATTACGACTAAATTGGCCTATCGCAGCACCGGGCCGGTCTTGGAGGGAAATTGAGTTTTCGCCCGACGGAATAAATTCTTTTCTCTCTCTCTCTCTCTCTCTCTCTCTCTCTCTCTCTCTCTCTCTTTCTCCTTCTCGCCCCCTCCCTCTCTTTCTCACTCTTTTTTAAACAGTTTTCTTTGTTTGGCACAGTAGACATCAACCGGCGACGCAATTCTCTTCTCTTCATTTTCTCTCTCTCTCTCTCTCTCTTTTTTCTCGTGTTTTGTTTCGGTTAGAGGTACCGGCCGGCCGGCATCTAGCGATCAACCCTATTCGTTAAATAGCACCTTCGTTATTCAACTTCGTTTCGCGTACTTTCGAGAGTGCGCGTACACAGAGCAGCAAGTTACACTATATCACTTAAGAGCTAAGTGTTCTGACCGAGTGGAGGATCTGGTCTCGTAAATGATCCTCTTGGAGTTTTTTTTATAAAAAAAAAACGCTTTTCTTTCTCCTCCCCCTCTCCTCTCTCTCTCTCTCTCTCTCTCTCTCTCTCTCTCTCTCGCAATGAGACACGATCGGACTTGGTTGTGAAGTGGTCAGAAGTTAAAGCTACTTACGAGACCATTCCTTAGAGAATGAGCCGGCACTCTCGTTCTGCGCTCGCGCATATTGGACAGCGTGTTGTTATCATGTGTTTCATGTTTTGTGTGTGTATGTGTGTCACGTGTCGCATATACATATATATAAATATTACGAGAGTGTGGATAGCGACTAGGGAGAGAACTTGGAAGGACCGAATATATAGACCATGCAACAAGACGCTACTTCGCGGCTCCCGACGACGAACCTAAATTTCGCTGGTGTCTGACATACGTACGGGAGTAAACGGAAGATACTATTATTGCTATCCGCATCGGAAAGGATTATTCATTCGTTCGGGAATTCGAAGGCACCGGCAACGCTTTCCGGGGGGCTCCTCGCCTCCCGGTTCGGTGCCAACGTCGAACACGTCGTTTCACACGGACTGTGTCGTCGACGATGAGCGACGTCTCCGTCGTCGCGAGTCCTGCTGGACGCCCTCGTCGCGAGAGCTCGTCGCTCGTCGAATGGTCTCAACCGTCCACGGACTGAGGGCGAACTTGAAAGTTCAGTCACGCTTGTAAGTCGTAACTGCGCTACGGCTCTCCTCCCTTGGATTTGTCTCGGGGTAACTCGGAATTGCCTTTGTATCAAAGTGTCCTTGCTTGTCTGAACTCAAACGAAATATTCGTATTTTAATCGTCGTTGATGTGTGTTCGTCCGTGGAGGATTGGCAAGTATAAAAATTTATGTTGCACGCGCGGCTCTCGCGACGACTCCTCGCGCCATGGAACACTCTCAGTGCCTCGACCTTTCCTACCGCGAGACGCGCTTAATCGCTTAACAAACAAGGGTAGACCAAGAGGAGATCCTGAACGGGTCTGAAAAAAGTCACGGTATAATAATCCAGGATGTTCGGCGCGGAAATCGCTAATAACTCATATCCGCAGCGAGAACCTACGTTGCGTCATTTTCCGCAGCGGAAGGATCGAGTCGAAGGGTTCCGAGGGCCCAGTCCGCTCCTTTAAGAGCACAGGGAGAAGCGAGACTTGAAGAAGTCAAGAGAGCATTGAATTTTCTGTCAATTCTATTCGACGATCGAACTGAGAACTCTGAGGTTCGTCGACAAAATCTGCGTGGACGATTTGAAACACGCTCCTCCCCTCTCCCCGCCCTGACTTTCGGAGCGGTCCCTCGAGTTCAGCCGGCAGGACGTGCGCGACGCGGTCCTCACCCGCGTGAAAAAGAAAAAACAAAAACATCCGTCGACGTGTTCGCGTGTGCACGGAGCTCGCGTAGAGTGAAATTATCATTATCGCACGCGGCATCTCATCGCGAATTATGTTACATATCGAGTACACATCGAGTATATCGAAAGTAGCTATTACGTTACAAATATATCACTTTTCGATGGAGCACGAAGACGAAGAAGACAACAAAAGGAAGCCTTGACCGTCGACTTTCGCCGGCCGCGTCGTTGCGTTCTTTGGTTTCGTTCTTTTTCTCGTTTTCCTCTTGGTTTCGTCATATCCTTATCACAAGTTAATCTCACTATCGTAGCCTAGAAAGCATATCGTCAGACGTGCTGGTAGGTCGCAGCAGCAGCAGCAGCAGCAGCAGCAGCAGCAGCAGCAGCAGCAGCAGCAGCAGCAGCAGCAGCAGCGGCGGCGGCAGCAGCGGCGGTGGTGGTGGTGGTGGTGGTGGTGGTGGTGGTGATGATGATGGTGGTGACGTGTGATCTCTCCTACATTCTCCTTTTCCTTCCCGTAATTGACGCGTCGTATCTTGGGCCGGCGACGATGGATGGACTCGGTCCGATCTCGTTTTTCAGTTCCTCTTTCTCCGCCTCTTTCATTCGCGCGTGATACACTCGTGCTCCTCGCGAGGTAGGACGAGCTGAGCGCCGTCGATGGTGGTGATCATAGAGCGCGACTCGAGGGCTGATCTCTCGCGATCGCGCGAACAGTGGAACAGAGGACATCGGAGACATTCGAATTTTAACACGCTATTCAACCGCGACGCTTCAGAGAGAGAGAGAGAGAGGGGGGGGGGTGTGAGGGGAAGTTGGAAAAGGAGAAAGAGAGGGAGTCGCTTCCACCGATGAGAAGTAAACGCCGAAGATCAGCATTCCCGAAGAGCTCCGGCCGCAGCCGGCTGAGTCGACGCGACATTCCCGTTCACTCGCGCGATCCTGCCGGATCAACCCTCGAGCCGCGGCTCGCGCGGCGACCCTCGCGTGGGTAGTCGCAGGGAAAGAGGAACGTCGGGCCGAGTAGAGTTGCGTTAGCGCTGGTGGATGTGCGTGGTGAGATGCTTGGAGAGATAGTCGGCGCGGGCGAAGCACTTGCCGCACATCTCGCAGTGGTAGGGCCGCTCGCCGGTGTGGATACGCAGGTGCCTGGTGAGATCGCTCTTGCCGCCGAAAGCGCGGCCGCAGAACAGGCAGACGAACGGCCGTTCGCCGGTGTGCTTGCGCACGTGCAGCTTCAGGTTCTCCTTGGACCTCACGCACTTGCCGCAGAACGGACAGGCGAAGCGGCGCTCGCGCCGGTCGGCCTCGCGATTGCCGCGCGCCAGACCGATGATCGCCTCGCTGGACTCGTGCCGGTCGTCGTCGACCGCGTTGTCGTCCACATCGCCGATCTCGCTGCTGGTACCGCCTCCGCCTCCGCCTCTGCCTCCGCCGCCGCCGCCGCCGCCGCCGCCGCCTCCGCATCCGCCTCCGCCGCTGCCGCCGCCGCCGCCACCGCTGCCCGCAGTCGTTTCCGTCACCTGCACCTCCACCGCGTCGCCGGGATTCTCCTGGACGCTCGCGGTCTCCGAGACGCTCTCGTCGCGAGCGTTCTCGGAGAACACGCCGCGCATCTCCTCGGCGTCGCCTGGGTTCGTCGTGGTGTCGCTGCCGGTCTCCTGGGACGGTTCGCCGGTACTCGAGACCTGGTCGCTGCGCTCGGCCGGCGCCGAGACTACGACGACGCTCTGCGGATCGGGCGCGCGCTGCAGCCGCTCGAGCGCGTGGTTCAGACGATGTTTCTTAAAGGACTTTAGATACCTGAACTGCATGCCGCACACGTCGCACGTGAACAGCTTGTCCGCCGGCAGCCGTGCCCGGTGGTTCTGCTCGCGGTGCTTCACGTAGGCGGACCGGTAGCGGTATCGTTGGCCGCACTGCTCGCACGTGAACGGCTTGTCGTCGCTGGTCTGACCGGCGTGCTGCAGCAACGCGTGCCGCTCCAGCAGCCACGGCGACGGGAACGTCGCCAGGCAGACGCCGCAGCGACGCGCCAGCCCGGCCAGGCCGGTGAAGCCGCCGTGGCCGATCAGGGTGCCGCCGCCGCCGCCGCCGGCGCCGCCGCCACCGCCGGCGCCGCCGCCGCCGCCGCCGCCGCCACCGCTGCCTCCGCCGGCGCCGCCGTGGGCGCTCGTCCGCTCCACAAGCGCACCCCAGCCGCCCGCTTCCAAACCAAGGGCGAGAGAGACCTGCAACAAGAGTGGACATTACGTCGTACCGTTGCACCGCTCCATCTGTGGCCACGGATCTCCCTTGCCGGGAGACTCAGCTTGCTTCAACCGGTGGGTACAGCCAGAGGTTCGACAAGTGGCAGCGACGAAAAGAGCATCTTCGTGCGGACTCGTCGAGCGAGTGTCGTCGCTGAATTTTCTGGGTTTCCCGATTGGTGCTTGCTTTCCCTTGCGTCTCGGGTACTCGTTGCGTAAGCGACTACAGTGTGTAACTGAAGATTGTCGGAAGTCCGGAATCGGGGGATTCGGGACTTCCGCAAACGCCTGTCCCGGAAATCTGCCTCGGAAAGTTCGGTTTTAGTTGGTAGGCCTTAGACTAACTCAAATACCGTTCCGTGGATTGGATCAGTCGATCACTTGGACATTCTCACAGCCATGCACCAATTCTGCTTACAAACTTGGTTTTGGCAAGTTACTTGGTTGGATATCAGATGGAGAAATGGGTAGGCTTTTTATTACTTATTATCTTGATAATTGACCGGCTTTTCAATTACGCAACGTACGCTAGGTTAGCTTAAGGCCTACCAACCTTAAAACTAAAAAATTCCCGAAACCGATTTCGGAACAGGCTTCAAATTAGGAAGAACGTTTCTTGGTACCTGACTGAAGTCCAGGCTCTGGTTTCCCGGAAAATTATGGGCTCTCTCTCTCTCGTGAGGAAATCTGTGTGTGAAGTCAGGTTAAGCGTGTGATGCTTTGTATGTCATGCGAACCCAACTCAGGGGAATTTGGATAGAATCTACCTTGGCGTTTTCTCTCCAACGTTTAGCTAAAGAGTTTTTTAAATGTTCTTTTTGTATTAAAAATGAATAAAGCGTATGCGAAGCATGTCTCACGTAAGAAATATTTTACTATGTAATTGAGATCCAGTTCAATTTCCTTCTGAAGAAAGAATAGACTTTCTTTGGAAAATCTATATAGAGTTATAACTTATTTAAGCGTTTGTGAACGCTTCAGTTTATGTGAGTTTCAGGTTATTCTTCTGCCTGAATAAGTGAATTGAAATAAACAAATTCGGCGAAAAGAAATTCACACAAAGTATGCAGCACCATCTTGGAATCCGAATTGAGCACATTTCTCCGTACCGCTAAAAACTCAGATATTATAAATATATATAATGTTTGAAGCACGCGAATTGGCATGAGAAATCTAAACAGATCACATTTGTTCCCCAAACTCTTTGCAAAAGATCTTTCCCACCGTTTTCATTTTACATTAGAATTTAATAAAACCTATAAAATACCGAGTATTTACGCTGAGTGTATTCAAGTATAAATATATAAAAATTTAAATACTCGGTATTTCTCACAAATATTTGTTTGTTTTTCATCTACCTCTTATTCTCTTTACTGAATTTGAAATAGTTACTATAAAAATGGGATTCCCTATTTGATTTTATAAAAATATACCGATGTTATTTATCCGCATTATATCTGTTTCGATTTCAAAAACCCAGAGACTCATGTTTAGAATAAAAATTAAATCTCCGATGGATACGTTACAGAGGGATACAACGGTTACAATGGTTCTCGACAAATTTGGATATTCCGATTAAAAATTCCATATCTATCTGGAAAAATCTATCTAGAAAAATCTTGAGCAATTTCTATGTGTCGCTGTTTGGCGGCTCCAGCGACGTTGACTTCCGCTGCGACAACGGAGTGAATCAACAGCAATGTTATTCAATACGAACAAGGAGTCAATTAAATGTACTCCGATTGATTATTTACAGGATCGAATTAGTCGATTGAATGACGGTACGGTGACACGTGCGAATCCAAAAGGAACTGTGACACTTCACACGTCCCGTCGGTACTGCAGATTCATATAATTTCAACTAATCACCGTTCGCGCCTGACACGGTCATATCCAGAGGCCTTCTCTCCCGTCGTCAGTGAAAATTGATATTTGCTTCGCATCAGTTCACATGACCGTCTCTCTTGTAACCCGCGCGAGTACCTGCGTAATCGCGCAAATTTGCGATTACTTCGCAGGTATTTCGCCTAAAAATCGACGATCACGCTGGTGAGTGCGAGAACGCCGATTAATCTCGGCGATAGATCGAGCAAGCGAAGTAATTCGAGAAGCTGCAGTGAGCGTGTGAGAGTATCCAGGAACCTCGGAGCTTTCCCGACGAGTGAACGTCCGGACGATCTCTCTGACGATCGACGAGAGAGAGCGGCTTGAAACTCCCGCATCGAACCCCCGCCATTCGTATCTCAAATACGGCCACGACGGCGGCGGCGGCGGCGGCGACGAGTGTCTCGCGGCGGGGATCGTTTCACGCTCGAACGGAAGATTATGAACGATGCACTTACCCTTTTGTATCGCGCGGGTGCGGCTTATGATAGCGATAAACAATCCCTAAGGCCCATAATATCGCTCTGGGTTTCACGCGCGAGGTTGGACAACACACACATCGCGGGGGGTTGCGGAACGCACGGACAGACGGACAAGGACATTACACATCGTACGCACGTGACGTATTGTTAACACAAACAGTTTGCAGCTTTTATTTCACAAATTGTTAATTTACAACTATGATATGCATTCGTTCGTCTAAGAACCGAAAAACAAATCAGTTTTCTTCTTCTTTTTTGTCGTTTTTTTTTCTTTTTTCTCCTGTTTTCTCCTCACTTCTCTCTCTCTCTCCCCCTCCCCCTCCCTCCCTCCCTCTCTCTCTCTCTCTCTTCCTCCCTCTCTTTCTCTCTCTCTCTCTCTCTCTCTCTCTCTCTCTCTCTTTCTCTCACTGCTGTCCCTCGCCTCTCCTCCTTGTCTCCTTATTTAACGCCAAGCCAAATCGGTCGTGACTATCCGCAATGATCGGAACGTTCGGAAACGCGTTATCAATGTCGCGTGGAGAGTTACGGACGAGAGTGGGCCTTCGGAATGTGGATTTCTTCGCGAGCGCCATCGCGAAATGTCTTCGTCTTCACCGATCTCCCGAAACGTTCGACTTCCGATACAGACAAGACACACGAACGTTCGCGCGCGCGCATACATATGTGTGCGTGTGTGTATGTATGTGTGTGTGTATATATACATACATATATATATATATATACACTCACATATATATAAACGCTGTTAATAAATCGAGACTTCAGCAGCTCCGCAATCAAATTCACAGGACGCGTTTGTATGCCGCGGTGATCTCTCACGCTTGTACTCACACTCTCATTCTCTCTCTCTCTCTCTCTCTCTCTCTCTCTCTCTCTCTCTCTCTCTCTCTCTCTCTCTCTCTCTCTCTCACTCACTCACTCTCTCTCTCTCACTCTCACTCTCACTCTCACTCTCTCTCTCTCTCTCTCTCTCTCTCTCTCTCTCTCTCTCTCTCTCTCTCTCTCTCCCCCCCCCTCTCCCTCTCCCTCTCGGCCTGAATCCTTCGCTTCGGCATGCACGAGCGATTTAAGGTCGGACCTCGCGAGGCAATGACACTCAACAGCCGGAGCAGAATGTGGAAACGCGCGTCGGATGGACGGAAACGCTTTCTCGGATTATCCACTCCGTCGCCTCCGGTCGCGTTCATCTCACATGCCGTCCATCGCGGTCGTCCCTCGCGATCGGCCGCGCACGCGGATTGATCTCTCTGGGCATTATGGATGCGAGAAAACGCGAGGTGCCGCGGATGAGTCGCGGGGAATACCCAGCAGGGGGCTGGACTCTCCGAACGAAGTGCCGGCTCGTCGTCTCGCGGCGAAGTCTCGTCGCTCCGCGGGTGTGCGCTCTCGCTTTTTGCCGCCGTATTTTCGCACGGCAGGGAACGTCCCCGGCGTGTGCGATCGCGCCTAAAACGAAGAGCTTACTTCCAAGTCGTCTCGCGTGCGCGCGCTCAGCTGCGAGCAGCCTCGCGGCGAGCTCGTAATCTCCAGTTTTTGTCTCCGTCTCTCTGTTGTTTCCCCGTTCTCCCCCTTTTTTTTTTTTTCGAAAATATGCACCGGAGCCAACACGGAAATAATAAGCCCTTGGATTTGGCAGCGCGACCCGAATGTAACGGCTGTTGCTGCTGGATCGCGCGAGAATGCTGGTCATTTGTCGTCCAATCACGTATGAAATTAACGTCGCGTCGCTCTCTCATTCTCTCTCTCTCTCTCTCTCTCTCTCTCTCTCTGTCCCTGCTGTGAAAATGACTCGTAAAAATCCAAGCAAAGTCTCCGAAAACAGGACTGATCGGCGGCCGGTCGATGGATTTTTTTTCTACCACAGCGAAGATCGCGCCTCGATTACTCACATACGTGTCCTATCGCGGCCCATAATATCTAAGATCAGCAAGGTCGCGCCCGAGAGTTCCGAGTATATCACGCGATATCGTGCACGTACCAGGTGTCCGAGAAATAAGAAAGCGAAAAATGTAGCAGCAGATAAGAGACACTCGTCGGAGCTGTCGGGGAATTAAACGTGCGGGAATGCTCTTTCCCGAGCGGGGACATTCCCCGTCGGGACGGGGAAGGGGCGATGGGGGAGGATGCATGTCACGTGATGCGGAACGCAGGAGTAACCGGGCAGATTTGGTGACGTCGACGCGATCGGCGAGAGAGAGAGAGAGAGAGAGAGAGAGAGAACAAACGGTTCGCGGAACGCTGAAATTCGTGCGCGGGTCGTGTTGCCTCGCGCAGCGCGCGCTACCTTTCGTCACACACACACACACACACACACACACGCACACACACACACACACACACACAACGCGCGCATACACGAGCCGAAGGATCTTATATCGCGATGGATACAATCGTGTCGGAGGCTCGACGAGTCTCCGGAGTGCGACGCGAGAAAATCTCGAAACGAGCGATCGAGGCATCGACACTCGATCGCGCCGCTCTCGCGAGAGATCTTCGCGGATTCTCGATCGTATATCACGTAAACAACGAGAGCGCGTAAGATCGAGTAAGTGCGTGTGTATATCTTTACGCGTAAGCGCCCTATTTTATTCTGCTGAGCTGAGCTACGACAAGCGC